GAGTGAGTTCATCCCATTCACATTCACATCCACACTTATGATTACTAACCATGCATTTCTCTCCACCTTATTGTTTTCTGTTTATCCTTCTGTCGTACTTTTTAAGGTATCACTCCTCAAAATCTGTTTTGTTTCTGACCATTGAATCCCTTAATCCAATCTGTCTTTTATATCCTAACTCTTGTCTCTTAACCCCTTCCCCTCTGATTTCCCTATTGGGTAAAATAAATTTCTCTACTTAACTGAGCATGCGTGTGTATGTGTGTGTGTGTGTGTGTGTGTGTGTGTGTGTGTGTGTGTGTGTGTGTGTGTGTGTGTGTGTTGTTCTTCCTTCTTTGAACCAATTCTGATTAGAGTGAGGTTCAAGCATTGCCCACCAACCCCACTACCCATTTTCCCCTCCACTGTAAAAGTCAGGTCAACAATCATTTACTGAGAGCCTACTATGTGTCACACCCTATGTAAAACTCTGGGGATACAAAGAAAATCTCCCTCTCAAAAATAATGAGAAAAATGAAGCTCAGAATGATTATTTATCCATGATTACATAGCTATTAAGAGCTAGAGGGAGTTTCTAACCCCATCATTTTGACTCTAAGTCCTGTAAACTATCCACTTTGCCAGGCTACCTCACTATGGATATATGCAGGAGTGTGCTATTAAATGTTTAACAAGTGGTTGTCAGGGAAAAAAATGTACGTGTTTAATCTGCTTTATTAACTTTTTTTCCATCAATTTCAGAAGTCTAGAGACAATCAACAAAACAACAAAACCCTGATTTGTAATCTTTGCCAATACCCAAGTTAAAAATGTATACAATGACAGAGAGACAGAGAACAGAGACAGAGAGAGAGGTGAGAGATTAGAGATGAGAGATGAGAGATGGCAGAGAGAGACAAAAAAGAGAGACAGAGATATATAATTGTTGAGAACTTCCCAGCCTGAGGGCTTGGCAAGATACAGAAGAGAAAACTGATTAATATTTTTATAGCTTCCCAAAAGCAAAGACAAAGAAAGCATATCTGGACCAGGCCTAGACAAAGCATGGTATTAGTATTGGTGGGGAAAGGTTTGTAAGCAAGCTAGGAGTCAGTTTCCCTTTCTCATTGTTTGTTCCCACATCAGGCAGAGGGTAAGAGCCAGAAAGAGAAAGTATTTAGCTCCCTAGTACCAGCACCTTGCCCTTTGAATTGCTAGACCGGGATAACCAGAAGTTGCAAACTTGGGTGACTGGAAAGACGGTGGTACTCTCAAAAGAAATAGGAAGTTAGGAGGAGGGATGAGTTGGAATTGGTAGTGAGATGCAATGTTGTGCCATGTTGAGTTTGAGATACCTACATGACATCCAGGTTGATATATATAGCAAGCAGTAGGTGATGCTGGATTGGAACTGAAAAGAAAGTTCGAAGGAAGTTGTAGTCAGGTGATCAAAGCAGGCAAGGAGTTCAACTAAGAGGAAAACGTTGGACACAAACACTGAGAAAACACAGATGATGAAGTCCCATTCTGTGACTTGGCAAAACCAAGGAGGACACACAATTTGGTGGATCTCTGTGCCTCTTAGAAACAAAGTCCTCCTCAGGATCTGCTACTTCTGGCCAAAAGCTTTGTCCTTTGTGCCTATCTGTGTATCCATGAGAACATGTGGCTCTCTTCAGAATCAGCCCTCCTCACATTCTGGACAGTCTTCCTGCCTTCCTGTACATTTGGAGGCAGATGCCAGATTCTTTATCAATTCTCTGAGACTCCAACATAGAATAGAAAGATCAGGGAGAGTGAGGAATCCTTGCTACTATTCCTGAATGTGTCACTATCTGCATCTTCTTGAGCAAGGCCATTTCCCTCACTGGGCCACAGGTTCCTCCCTTATCAAATGAGGAAGTTGGATTAGATAATCCCAAAAGTCTATTCCAGTTCTATAGCTATGATCCTATCTTTGCGGTCTTTTTATCAGAGGAAACAGTGAGGTGGTACAGTGGATATACCACTGGGCCTGGAGTCAGGAGGACATGAATTCAGATCTATCTTTGGATACTTATTAGCTGTCTGACCTTGGTTAGGTAAGTCATTTAACTTCTATTTGCAATTTCTTCAATTACAAAATAAGGATATCAATAGCTTCAACCTCCCAGGGTGCCAGCAGCCAGCGTGAATGTACCACAGAGCAGTGAAAGAAAAAGGGGAAGGGAAACTGGAGAAAGAAAGCTGGGCTAGGTGAGTCTGAGACTGATGCTCATAAGACTGGTTTATTTTCAGGAGTTACAATTATACAGAAAACAGCTTTGTACCATGAGAAATGATCTACAAGTGCTAATTAATAACATAAACAATCTAAGCAGCTAAAGATCCTCATTATCTCATGAGAAAATAGTTTCAATGCCAAATTTCGTATCTATTGTTTTCCTGCCCAGTTCTTAGTATTGTCTACTCGAGTCAGCCACCTAGTCTCAAGGCTGGGCATGAGTAAGAACTTAGAACCAACAAACCATAACAAACAGAGCTAGGGCAAGAGTCATGGGAGTGTTTATCCTGAGGCAAGCCTCTATAAGTACTGACCCCTAAAGTCTATAAGGACTTAGAGATTTTCCATAAGGACTCAGCCTCCCATACCAGGGTAATTGTAAGGATAAAATTCAATAATATTTGTAAATCACTTGGCACTTTGCAGGTGCTTAATAAATACTTGTTCCCTATCTCTTTCCCTTCCAGGTCCATGTGGTCATGTGACTCTAAACTGACACCCTCGACTCCCAAATCACCACCACTAAAGCTTTTTTCTCTGCTGTTCTGTTCCTATTGAATCTTGGGCCCCTGAGACCTATGCTTTCAAGACTAGGCTATTTTGTGATTCTCAAAATGTCAACTAATGTAAGACATTTACTAAAATCTAGTGCTGATGGGGTAATAGAAGAGGCCAGTCTTCCTGACTCCATATTTTTTGACTGAGAAACAGCAGAGGGTTGCCCACAGATAACACTGGAAAAGTAGATCCAAGAAATTCCCAACCTAGAAGGAATTGAAAGAAGGATGTTACACTTACATTGAGTCAACAATGCCCTAAAAACCAATCTAGCTAGCAATGTAACATGGCCCCAGAGACACCTGGATTGATGACTTAACAGGATCTCTCAAGAACATGACAACAGAAACAAACATGTGACCACACTCTGTGTATATGCAGAGTGGGGCTATATGCTCACTGTAGCCATACATCCTTAGTTTACATGTTGGAGTTCCTGAATCCTCAAAGAGGTTTTTGACTCCTCTGTGTTCTTGGTGTTCAGAGACAATATGATGGGTAGATATGTCTTTGTAGAGCTTGAAACTCTGTATACATGTGACAGGGACTGAACCTATGATTTCCCTGGGGTAGAGGGCTCCTAATGAGGAACTTCTTCTGCCAATGCAGGTCATCAGTTTCTTTACACCTTGTACTCTAAAGAGCTGATTAGTGACTCTGTGCAGTAAAGTGCCTTGCCCATGGTCAGACAGACAGAATGCGTCAGAGACAGGACTCAGACCCAGGTTGTCCTGTCTCTGAGATCAGCTTTCACTCCCCTATATCATGATACCTCTTTGTATAACTGCGTCGTCATCATTAACATCAGCAGCAGCAGCATCAAGTGTGGTGGCTAGAAAACTGCCTTGGAATCAGGAAGACCTGAGTTCAAATTATGCCTTTCACATATACTAGGTAAATCACTAAACCTCTCAGACAACTCTACAGCAGCAAGTTGCAGAACAGTTAGTTGCCTTTCTGCTTTAGTAGGAATTCCCTATTTCAGAGATGTCAGGTCCACAGCCTATGGGATGCATGTGGCTCACAACATTCCCGAGTGTCGTCTGAATCAGACTAAAATATGACTGAGAAATATTTAACAGAATAAACAATATACGATAAAACAGATAATACTGCATTTTAAACCCGTCAAAATGTGGCCTTAGAGATTCTTATGTAGACATCCATTTCTATTTGGGTTTGATACTATTGCCTCATACCAGCAGTCCACATGCCCACTCTGCCAAAAGGGTTCTATTGGGCAGATCTATTGTCATGGGATCCTTGGTTCTAGAGACACTTTCCAACATTAAAAATACTTTAAACAAAATTAAGCAATATTAAACAACATTAAACATATGTTAGCACTTCAAACACTTAGGATATACAGTCATGGGATCAGAAATTTACCCTGGAAGGGATCTTAGAGGCCATTAAGTCCTGTCCTCTCATTTAACAGATGAGGAAACTGAGGCCCAGAGAAGCTAATTGACCTTTCTGGGGTCACACAATTAGTAAGAATATGAGGTAGGATTTGAACTCAGGTTTTGCTGGTTCCAAACCTAGCACTCTGCCCATCCTGGCCCATGCTGCTGCAGAACATCAAATCTCAGGGATGTCATGTTGGAGTCAGAGTATACATAGGATTTAAAAATAGGAGCAGTTGTTCCCCAGAGGCTGGTCTGGTCTGCAGTTGCCCATTATTTTGTAGTCCTGTGTAAGATGCTGCTGTCAGGTATTGTGGAATACATTGGCTCTGGGATATATGGAAGTAGGTTTGCATGTGGATTATTGGTGGCAGTGAGAACACTAAGATGTAAGGCACAGAATCAGAGTGAGGTTGAGAGAAGTAGCTATGTGTAAGGGAGGGGTACAGTGGAAAGGAATCAGAGGACATCCATTCTAATCCTGCTTCTGGTGCTTAATTGTGTGTGACTTGACCAAGTCTCTTCATCTCCCTAATCCTCAGTTTAGCTTGGGAAGTTCATTTTAGCTCTACACCTGTTATCCTATGACCTCTTCCTCTGACTGGATGGGAATCTGGGAAATGGGATGTTAAATGACCCCAGGGACCTGGTAGAGGCTGAGCTGTAAGTACCTTCCAGCCCTCTCTTTTTTCCTTCCAGAGCCTGGGGCTAGAAACACAGAACCCTGGCTTCTCTCTCTTGGCCCTAGTCCTCTAGTTCTCTAGGCAAAGAGACACAAAGTGAAAGCCAATATATTCCATGTTGAAATGTTTTTATTTAGAAGAATTACAATCAAGGTAAGGGTGGGTGGATGGGCAGGTAGAAAGCAGGCATTCATGTTCCAAAGCAGAAGGATACATCCAGCCATCATTCCTGAGGGGCTTCTGAGAGGTGTGCCTCAGGGCTGGAAGGACCCAAAAGTGGCTCCACCTTCAGGCACAGACCGCTTTCTGCTCTGAGAATAATTTCTGGCTTTCTTCGCACTGGGTCTTTATCAGGGAGGACTCGGAACCTCAGTAAGGTGAGGGCTAACACAACCTTCATCTCAGACATGGCGAAGTTCTGGCCAATGCAGTTCCTGCTCAAGGAAGGAGGGGCTGACAATTCCCAGACCTTGACCCCAGGCTGTTTCTAGGGTCCTCCCATACTGAGATGGGCCTCCCACTCCTTTGATGGGGACATGGGAACAGGGCCTTTGCTGGGCACAGCTCCCCACACTGATCTGGAGGAGGTATAAACATCACCTGGGGAAATCAAGTGGGGAAAGTATGGACTTACCTGGGTCCAGCTGAGAAGGGTATAAAGGCCAGGGGTGAAATCTTTTGGGACTTGCTGATGTCAAAGCGATATGGGTCAAAAACCTGGGGTGTTGACAGGGTCTTTTTCACCCTAGGCATACACTCACCCTCTTGTCCGATTCTCTTCAGTATAGCTAGCCATCTCCAGGGGTAATCAAAGCTGCCCTCTCCTGCCTTCAGGCCTCCCATGGCTTGGCTTAGAGTGGAGCCCCACTCCCATACCCATCAATGTCCCAGTTCTCCAGCACTGACTAGTCCAGGGGTGCTTCTGTGGAGGGTTGACAGATACCTCAGGGTTGGGCCACACAGCAGGGTTATAGTGAGTTCCAAAGATGCTGACCAGGCAAATGTTTCCTGTTGGCCAGAATAGGAGAGAGCCTAATGTAGCTTGTAAACTCTACCAATCGATAAGTTGTACCAACCTCCCAAATGGGCCCTAACCATAAGACTTCTTAACCCCTTCCCCTTGCCCTGGTGTGAGCCCTTGGCAAGTGAACCTTTAGGAATGATTCGCCCATCAGGCAGCTGGATGTCCTTGGTGCAGCAGCGGGAGACCATGCCAACTGGGGGGTGCAACCGGAGGCTCTCCTTGATGCACATGGTCAGGAAGGGCATCTGGGCCAGATCATCCCTAGAGACAGGAACCCTGTGAGCTCCAGCATAGTGGAGATGGGGAGAAGCTCCTCCATCCCAAGGCAGGGCAGAGGGCACAATGTTAACATCTAAAACCTGGAAAATCAGAAGTTGAGGGACAGGCAGTCTATGGGGACCCTGATACTCAGTGACCACGAAGCCCTGGATGTCAAAAATTATGTGAAGGAGGTGGCAAAATGCTGAGTGTTGACCTTGAGAGCCAGAGGTCAGAGGGCTCTTACATTCAAACTTTGGAGAATACTAATGGGACCATGGCTGACTAAGAGAAAATTTGGGGAGGGGAAAGACAGTACTCAAAGGTGGGTCATGGATGTAGAAGTAGCCCAGGGTTTGAGGCCTGAGTCCTAGCTGGGGAAAGTTAACCAGAAACCCAACAGAAGCCTCAGGAACCTACATGACTAGGAGAGAACACTGGGCTATAGCCAGATGGAGCAACAGTCTGGCCTCTGTTCCTAGGGGTTTACCCCTGGAGTGGAGTGAAGTGCAAATGAGATCATGGATGCAAAAAACTTTGCAGACCTTAAAATGCAACATAAATTTTGAGTATTTTTTTTATTGTGAGCCTGCAGTCATGGGCGTGGCTTCATTCCCTGAGCCTTATACTATAGTCTTGCTGAATTCAAGCAATGTTTATAGAACAATACAGGGGTGTGCTGGGAAATATTGAACAGCTAGGCTGGGAGGGAGGGAAATATATGGACACATACTCTTTTAAGTTTATTCTGCATCAGGAACCCTTTCTCCCTCACCTTCTTAAGTCTAGACAGTCAACAAAACAAGAAACCGAGCCCTGATGTGTGATTTCTGACACTGGAAATTTAATAATGAGCTCTTCCAAAGCAGTCATAGCTGGTTCCAGCACACTCATGGTTCCCCCTCCCCACTCAGGGTTCCCTTCTTTCTGTCAGCCCACACTGACCATTCAATCTCCTCGGGTTGCCGACCTCTCAGGAGCTCTTGTATCTCCTGGCGACAGTGGTCCTGGTGCTCCTGATGCTGGGCCAGGTTGTAGAGGACCCAGGAGATGCCACTTGCAGTTGTATCATGGCCTAGGGAGTGGGAAAGAGAAGAAGGAAGAACATTCCAGAGAAGCCATAGGAGACAAGACCAGAGCTCATCACCTGTCAGGGAAAAGAATATCCCCATCTCTCCAGCATTAGACTCTGCTTTAGGTCTTGAACCTATGGCATGCGATTGGTGAAACACCTTCCAAGTTAACCTTCACTCAAGCAAGGATCAGTGCGACCGATAGCAACGGCAAGAGGTAAATGGAAAACCCCAACTCTTTCCCAAGGACCCTCTGCCCTGCCCCTTCTGTCCCATTTGAAGCTCACCTCCAAACATGAAAGTGTCAGCTTCTGCCTGGATGTCCTTGTCTGACAGAGCCTTTCCATCTTCATCCTAGAACAGGCCCCTGTTGATGAGTTCTTGCTCCCTTCCCTTCCAATGAGAGATTCTACTTAGATATTCTAAGGCAGAAATCTCCAACCCCTTCAACCTAGAACCACCCCCTTAGGTGGCACAGTGGAAGATCACGGAACTTGGAAGTCAGGAAGACTGAGCTCAAATCTAACCTCAGACACTAGCCCTATGACTTTGGGCAAATCACTTGTCCTCTCTAAATATCAGTTTCCTCCTCTATGAAATAGTGTTAATAGCTAACAGAGTTATTGCAAATATCAAATAAGTTACTTATAAAGTGCATATTGCCACAGAAGAACCCTTTGACAAACCTAAAACTAGTCTCCATAATTCCAGTGGAACTTAGAACCAACCCTACACCCACAAAGATCTTTTGATGTATCTAGAATCTCAGAACCTCCCAGAAGAAAATACATAAAACCACTGACATGCAATCACAGAATCCTAGAATCTGAAGAGACTCTTACAAAGTGTAAATATTCTCTGTTTTTAGAGACCCTCCAAATCTTTTGGGTCTTTCTTGCATATTTAATATCCCTTGATAAATCTAGAAATTATCATAGATATTCTAAGGTATATCTATCATACCTAGAAATAGCCTCAGGAACCCTCCTCTCCCTCCTCCACAAAGCTTCTCTCTCCCTTTTTCCTCTCTCTCTCTCTCTCTCTCTCTGTCTCTATTCCTCCCTCTTTCTTCTCTCTCCTTCTGTCCTTCCTTCCCTCTCCTTTCATTTCTCCTCCCTCTTTCTCATATATACTTATTTCTATCTTTATCAATCACATTTATCTGTATCTATCAACCTACCCACTTCACCAGAAATTCTTCTCATATATGGAGAACCAAAATAGAGATACCTTTGGATAAATCTAGACTGCGTAAAAGTATTCTGGCACATCTAGAATCACAGAGTTACTTTTGAATATTTTTAGAATCCTAGTGATTTCCCTACATACCTTATTGTTGTTACTGTTTAGTTGCTTCAGGAGTATTTGACTCTTCATGACTCCTTTGGGTATTCTGACAAAAGATACTACAGTGGCTTGACGTTTCCTTCTTCAGTTCATTTTATGTATGAGAAAACTGAGGCAAACAGTTAAGTGACTTGCCCAGGGTCCCATAAATCTAAGGCCAGATTAGAACTCAGGAAAATGAATCTTCCTGACTCCAGGTACTCTATCCACTGTGCCAGCTAGCTGCCTTCTTATATACCTAGATACATCCAGAACCAGCCACAGTAATATTTTTAACTTCATCTAGGATTGGGGAAATTCTCTTTATATACCTAGAACCAGAGAGATTTCTTCATTGTTATTAGAATTAGTCATAGAAATGCATTTAAATATATGTAAAACCTCATAGATTCTCCTACTATACCAAAACCAGTGAGGGGTAGCTATTCCACTCTAGCATCCAGAGGGATAATACATCCTTTCCCTAGAAACTCAGTGTTCTATATGATTACACAAAACTTTGGGTTCCCTATGGAAAGATAGCTTTTGAAGAGGATGGAGACAGTAAGGTGGGGTTCTCTTATTGGTCAAGGCTGCACCCATTCCCTATTGCATTTTAACTTTGATACCTGAGGCTCTCCTTACACTCCTCTGACACTCCCTTCTACCTAAGTCCTTCATGTCCCTTACATATTCTCTCCCTATCTTCTTTAGGGCCTCCACACTGCTGACATCTCTCTTCTCCCATGCCCCCCCTCCAACCTCGATACTCACTTTAGCCAGTAGGAGAACATCTATGAAGTCAACGGTCTTACTTTTGGCCTTGTCCCTGAGGAAGGCCTCAGACCCCTGTTGGGCGAGGATACGCCGTCGGTCCCGTACCACAGCATTTGAGAAATCGTGCACCAGACGGCAGGCACGGGAGAAATGCCTTCCCTGGCTGGTGAGATAGTACAGGGCATCCCAGTATAGAAGTGGCTGCATGTGACGCTTTACCACAAGGGAACTCAACTCCAGGATAGCTGAAATGTAGGCACTTGGTTTCCTGATGAAAGCATGGGGCCCAGGGTCAGGGGTCAGGTTCAGCAGGGAGAGAACCCTGACCCCTCAGACTCTACATAGCCCAGAACAATTTCTATAATTTCTTTCCAAACAAGTTCACAACCTCCCCCCACCCCACCATGAGAAGAGAATGGAAACGGGCTTCTCCAAGGTCTAGTTGATCTTGTGCCTAGGGAGAAAAGAGAGGAGTCTGGCTTCCAAGGCCAGGAGCCAAGTGGAATGACTGACAACTTGGGCTAACACACCAGGATGAAAGTGTCACAGTAGTCTTGAGCATCACCCTGGACTGCATTCAATACATAAAAGCTGGAAGAAACAGCTGTTGGGGGCTGAAGGCTAACACAATAACCCTGCCTGGGCAGAACCTGATAGTGCTGGAGAGAACAGGAGACAAGTGGGAGTTCAGCCAGGTGGACCAATACAACCATGGGGAACAGTTAGCCCTTTGTGGATCCCTTTGTGGGTGTGTTCTTCCAAGAGGGACAACGGAGTACTTGACCAGGCTGATGAGCTGCCTGAGGTCTCAGTCATGTCCTCAAAAGGCTTCTATAGTCTGTATCCCAAATCAGCTTCTGAGTACATTCCTCTCTCCTAGGGTATCTCTATGTGAGATGTTAGGGGACCTTTCCAACTGGAAGTCATAGAATCAGAAGACTGGGATTCAAATCCCACCTCTGACATTTCCTGACTATGTGACCTTGGGGAAGTCATTTAATCTCCCCCCTTCAGCTTCCTCATATATAAAAAGGTTTTACAGTTTCATGTACAATTATCTTTTTTTCTGTTCTGCTATGTTAGGGAAATGCTTGCTTTATTCCTTAAGATTGGGGGGGAAAAAGTAGGCTGGATTATATGACCTCTGAGGTCCCTTCCTGCTCTTCCTCTATGATCAGGATTTTACATTCCTCCTTGAAAAATCTACATAATCAATGCAAGATAATAGAGAAATGGACAAAGGAGCAGATATTTACGTGAATGATCAATGTAAAATAATCACCAGTCTCAGTAGGCTAAAAGACCCTACATGCTGTTTCAGCCAGCAAAATCCTTACTAAGTGGAGAGACAGGGCAGCCAGAGGTAAAGACAATTTTGAATATGGACAGTAGGAGATGATTAGTGTTATCTTTTCACATGGAGAAAAGTGGTAGAGGAAAAACTGAATTTACAGGAAGCTTGGAAAGAAATCCATTTTGAACAGATCATCTCAAGGAAACTTAAAATGTGACAACAGATTAAAAAATAGGAAAGATCCCTCAAGCTTTATATAGAATAGTTTTCTCTATCAGTGATAGAACCACTCTATCTTGACATCACATTTAAACCTCACAATCTCTGGCATGTTGAATGAAGAAGTAAATCTAGAGCAGAGATTATTAACCTCATTTGTATCGTGGACCCTCTCTGGCAGTATGGTGAAGACTATGGACTCTTTTTCAGAATTATGCGTGTTGTCAATGTAACAGCGCTTTGGTGAATGCCCAGATCACCAATGATATGAACCCCCATATAGTAAACCATCCATAAGGATATCTTCTCCCAGAAGCAGGCCCCTGGCTTCTCCCGCATGGGTGCCTTTTCATAGGAGGTCTGGATCTGCTTCTGAAGGAAAATAGCCTGAAATGGCCTGACGCGTGGGTGGGACCAGCCTCCACCTCAGACCATCATGCATCAGAGCCCCATGACACCTACATTCATAACTGAAGGAAGTGCTAAATTTCAGGTGGAGGTTAATGAAAACAAAAATATATTTCCCATGCAAATTTACATATTCCTTGAAAACTAGCCATAATCCTCTTAGGCTTATCCTTGGAGGAGTGGAGGAAAACAGTCTGTGGACCCCAAGTTAAGAACCCCACATCTAGAGAAAGCCCCTCTTCCAATATGCTAAATGGACACCCTATGGAATGGATGTATGAGGATGCAAACAAGAAAGTAGAATTGCCCAGGATAAGACATGGGTGAGTTACAATCTGCACCATACAAGAGAGGACCATATTGAATTCACAGATCTATTAAAATGTCCAATTGGATGGCACATTAGGGCTTACAAATCACTTAGCTCATAGTAATCCTGGGAAGGAGGAAGTTCAAATATTATCATCTTCTTTTTGCAGATGAAGAAACTGAGACACAGAGAGGTGAAATGATTTGCCTTAGGTCACACACACGGAGTCAGACTTGAATTCAGATCTTCTCTCTTAGACTAGACCTTCTTCCACTACCCCATACTGTTTCAATATGGATTGGTGGGACCCACCTGGTAGTGGTAGGGGAATTCCGTCTTGTTCCCATTCAAGACCTCTGAGTGCCTGTTGCCCTGCACAGGATCCCCAATCATTATGGCTCAGTCTCTGCTACTTGATACTATAAACCCCTGAGGCTGACTTGTATTCCTTCCAAGATCTGTACTTACTGACTATACTGATCCCTCTAACTCTGTTCTCCTAGTAAGTCAGTACCTTGATCTGTTACTCCCAAGTCATAGCAACTGCCTTCCTACCTGTACTTCCTCCTATGAAGCCTACTCTAGTCACCTAAGTAACTTGCTCTGAGGTTCTGTCAGTCATTGGAACCCTGATCTGTCTTTTCCCACCACCTTGCAAGCCTCTGTTAGTCCACCATGTGTCCAGGGCACCAGAAGAATGGGAGGAACAAGTCAGGTCACCAAGTGTTTATTAAGTACTTACTATGTGCTAGATATTGTACTAGACATTGGAGGAACAAAGAAAAGCACAGCTATAAAGTGGCAGAAATGGAGAGAAGAGTATTGAAAAGAGATGAAAATGAGGGAGACATGGAAAAGCAGAAAGATCTATAGGAAGAGATGAGAACAAATAACCCATGAACCTAATTTCCTACTTCATAACTTCCCAGAGATCTTCAGTGGCTACAGCCAATGCCATAGTTACGTATCTGTAGTATGTCAAGGCTGGAGCCATCTAACATGTAAAGAGTTTATGATATATAGGAGTGCTGATGAATTATTTGGATTTACTTTATATCCTGCCATTTTGCTAAAATGAATGATTCTTTCAACTAACTTTTTAGTTGAGTCTTAGGATTTTCCAAGAACATCATCATATCATCTGCAAAAAGAGATAGTTTTATCATCTCATTCCCTATTCTGATTCCTACAATTTCTTTTTCTTCTCTTATTGGTATTGCTAGGACTTCCAATGTAATATTGAATAATATTGGTGACAATGAGAAGCCTTGTTTGACACCTGATCTTACTGCAAAGGCTTCCAGTTTATTCCCATTACAAACAATACTTGCTGCTGGTTTTAGATGAATGGTTTAAAGAAATTTAAAGAAAAATTCATTTATACCAATACTTTCAAGTGTTTTTGATAGAAATGAGTTTTGAATTTTATCAAAGGCTTTTTCTGCATCTATTGATGTAATTGTATGATTTTTAAACTTTTATTATTGATGTGATCAATTATGTTAATAGTTTTCCTTTTGTTAAACCATTCCTGCATTCTGGTATAAATCTAACCTGATCATAATACATAATCTTTGTAGTATATTGTTACACTCTTTTGGCTAGTGTTTTATTTAGGATTTTTGCATCCATATTCCTTAATGAAACTGGTCTACAATTTTCATTTTCTATTTTTTACTCTTCCTGGTTTAGGCATCAGTATCATATTTATTTCATAAAAGGAGTTTTTAGAATCTCTTCTTTACCTATCATTTTAAATAAATTATTTAATATTGGAATTAGTTGATCTTTAAATATTTGATAAAATTCACTTGTAAATCCATCAGGTCCTGGTGCTTTTCTCTCAGGAAACTCATTTATGGCCTGCTCAATTTCTTTTTCTAAAATATACCTATTTAGATATTCTATTTCCTTTTCTGTTAATATAGGCAATTTATATTTTTGTGAATATTCTTCCATTTCACATAAATTGTTAAATTTATTGGCACAAATTTGGCAAAATGATTCCTTATAATTGCTTTAATTTCATCTTCATTGGTGATATAGTCATCCTTTTTCCTATTTTATATTAATGATTTGTTTTCTTCTCTTTTTTCAAAATCAAATTAACCTATTGTTTATATACTTTGTTTTTTCAAAAAAACAACTCCTAGATTTATTTACTATTTCATTGGGTTTTTTACTACCAATTTTATTAATCTCATCTTTATTTTTAAAATTTCCAACTTAGTGTTCAATTGGGGATTTTTAATTTGTTCTCTTTCTATCTTTTTTTTAAATTGAATACCCAATTTATTAATCTGCTCTTCCTCTACGGTGGGAAGGAAGTAAAAAAAGAAATTTACATGACAATTTTGTTGTATACTTGAAAAGAATAGCAAGTTATGCCTGGTAGATTTGCAGTTTCATGTAAAATCATCTTTTTATTGTACTATTTTATGGGATTGCTTGTTTTATTTCATAAATTAAAAATAAAAAATTTTAAAATAACCTGAATAGATGGTATTGAAATGACTACAATGACTTACAATGACGGATCTCAGGAGGTGTCCATGACAAGATATCTTACCCTGAGGAGGAAGAGACAATGACAGAAAATAGAAGAGGCACATTTGTGGATGACATTGTTAGGAGAAAGAGAGTAAACCAAAGGGTCTCTCCTGGTTCCATTTTTACAAATGAACACTGCTGACCCCATCCAGAGAAATTAAATGCAGCATCTTCCCAGCCAGGTAATGGCCTGAACCTGGCTTGATGTACTCCCTAACTCGTGACTGCCAAGAGTCATATCTGCTGCTGTAGGGTACAAACCCAGGGGCAGTCTACACAAGGGAATAATCCGACCTGGTGAAGTCTCTATTAGTCATGCCAGAACTTTCCTTACAGGCCTATTATATTTTTGCAAAGTCTCCTCCAGGCTTTCCCTCTTTTGCTGCCTTTGGAGAAATAAACTTATCCTCATTCAAGATATAGACATAGATAGGGACATAGACATAGACATAGACACAGATGTGGATGTAGATATTGATTATAGAGATTTAGATGATATATAGATACAAAGGGTATAGATATAGACATAAATGCACATATATGTATGTGTGTATATATATACACATACATACATACATATATATATATACACATACATACATGCACACACATATATATACATATATATATATATACATATGTGTGTGTATATATATATATATACATATATATACACATATGTATGTATGTATGTATGTATGGTTGAAGCTCCCCAGGTTCCCCCAGGACTCATACCCAGGCCCTTCTCCAAGGCTACCAGCAGCTCCCAGAGTTCTCAGAGGGACATCATAGATATTGGATCACAGATTTAGAAATAGAAGGGACCTCAGAGGTCATGTAGCCCAACTCTCTCATTATATAGATGAGAAAACTGAGTCCCAGAGAAGTTAAACCACTTGCCTAAGGACATACTAGCAGTAAATAAAAGAACTGAGGTTAGACCCATGTCAACTGACTCCACTTCCCATGGCCCTACCCTGCCTATCATTCCCAGGCAGTCATGTATGTGGCCCCCAGTTTCCACATTAGCTTGAAGTTGCTCTTGCTTCCCAATCCTTCCAGATTCTGTCCTCAACACTGCACATCCCCTCTGCCCTGGAGTCCTCCCTTCCCACATTCCCCCAGGCAGCCAGTTCCTCAACTGTAGGTCCTGAGTGCCCAAAGCCAAGGGCTAGGCTGAGACTCACTCCTGGCAGTTGCTGTTGTGGCTGAAGATGCATTTCTGCAGGCTATCCAGGGTCATGAGGCTGATGTGTTCAAACATGTCCAGATAATTGCCACCCTCAGCACATAGGTGCCTCCATTTTGCCTGACAGAGAGTGATGGAGGCAGAGAGAGAGAGAGAGAGAGAGAGAGAGAGAGAGAGAGAGAGAGAGAGATTGACTGAGATTGTGCTGGCTTTCTCCCAGGACCTGACACACTGGTTCCTGCCTCTTCAGGCACCCAGAAAGAGGAAGGAAGGAATCTCTGTTTGCTATAAAAAGAACAGCAGGGATATGAGCCACATTGAGAATTTGCCATTGGGATGGAAAGATCTATTGTTGGGATTCAGGAACTGAGAGCTAGTCCCTACTCTGCCACTGAAAGACTATGTGGCCTTGGAAAAGTGACAGCACCTTTCTAGGTCAGATTTTCCTTCCTCATCTGTAAAATGGGGATAATCAGTACTGCCCTCCATACCTCCCAAGATGTAAGGAGGAGAGGAAGTTATGTGGACTGGAAACTGACCTGCAAGATCCTGGAAGAGGCTCCTGGGTGATGGTGATCATGGTCTCTGCCCCACAGCCCTAAACCCATACTTTAACCAAGAAAACATGGATGTTGCTATGGTCCCCATTATGCCTCCTGAGGCCCAGACTGGTCTGGAAGGGAATTCACTTTGTGCAGGCTCATCTCTGGATGGATTCCCTCTCACCCTGACTGGCTCCTCGAGGCTTACATGCATGATGTCTGCACTCTGGTTGAAGATCTTCACATAAGGTTTAAGGATGTCAAAGTGAAAAGCTGGGGTCAGCATGCGCCGGTGCCGGCTCCATTTGTCTCCTTTACTCAGCAAAAGCCCATCCCCTAGAAGAAAGATGGTGGTAGGGATCATTCTCCAAATCTTAGGCCTCAGGCCAGCCTCCCAGGCCCTAGAACCAGATGCGGCCCTCAGCTTAGTCTTCCATTACCTTTCCCAACTCTTAGCCCCTAGCCCAATCCCAAGGCCCCAAACACTAGGTCCTTAGCCATACCCCCAACCCCAATTCCTTAGCCTTCAATCCATAGAACCTCTGCTCCCAATCCTAGGCTTCTACTTCTAGGGAGTCTTGAGTCCCTAAGCTTCCCAAATACCAATATTCCAGCCCCATTACCCAAGCCCCACCAAGCAAGGGCTCCATCCTAGACCTCCATGGCTTCAAATAGTCCAGAACCTAGCTCCTAGACTCCCAAATACTGGCCTCATCTCAATCTCCAATCCCTCCGGTCACAAACATCCTTTCCTTAGTCCTCCTGACCAACACATCCCACCCTCTACCTTCGGGCCAATGCCTCCTCCCCAGGTCCTATTCCTACACGTCACTCACCCAGCCAGGGTTCTAGGAAGCCATAGAACAATTTGTCCTTGGGTGCAATAATGGCTGTAAGAGAGAGAGATAGGTCCTTCAGAGTCCTGACATGACTATGATTGGGGATAAGGGGAAAGACAAACAACCCAGAGGAGGTCAAAGACAGAGAGGTCATCCAAGGGTTGGGCCTCTAAGTCAGGCAGAGAAGTGACTAGGGCTTCACTTCCTGTATCATCCCCCCAGCTCCCCTCTCAGGCTAGCATGGACTATACAAGAAGAGAAGGATAGCAAAGGATGGAGTGGGTAAGGAGGTGAGGCTAGGCAGAGGGCAGGAGAAAGAGAGTGGAGATTGTAAAATGGCCAGACACACCTAGCTATGCTGAGTAGATACAACCTAAGGAAGGCCCCAGAGTTGATGCAAAGCACTCTGGATGTGGTCCAGACTTGACCCAACACTACCAACATAGCCCCAACATGGTCTCAGGAATCACTTACCCCAAGACAGGGACTATATACCTTCTTGACATGAGCCAAGACAAATCATTGATGTGATGTTTTGAGAGGGAGATATTCCTCCCACAAATATGACTCAGAAACTCATTAAGTCAAGGCCTAGATATATCCTAGACATGACATACACATTCCCCAAGACGTACCCCTGTAGAAAGCCCCAGACATACACTTTGGATATAGGCTTAAACATGGATTTAGACACAATGCACATATGGACTCGGACATGACTTGGGTACTTTCTGCTCCTGCTTTTGAATCTTTGATTTCATTGGTGTAGAGAATTTCCACTGTGGAAACTCTAGAAAGCGCTATATCTTCTAACTCATCTGAAGCTTGTGGTCTTAAGAGTTTTCTGAGGCACTAGAAGGTTAAGTACTTTGCCCATGATTGTGTTGCTACTATATGTTAGAGACAACATATGAACTCAGTTGTTTCTGACTTCAATGGCAGTGCTCTATTCATTATGCCAGGCTGCTCTCATGCCATAGATGTGGTCCTTGGGATGTGCCACACATAGGACAAATCTCCCTTCCCTACCCAGTCCCAGTCCCAGGGCTTTAGAGATAATATCTGTGGAAATGTGGTCCAGAATTCTATATAACCCCAACAGAGCATTGGTGCCTCCACTCTCCCCCACCAATCTATGGCACATAAGAGCTGACTGAGACATATCATTAAAATAAGGGCCAGATGTAGCCATGGAAACATGAACCAGACATCTCCCAGTCTTGAACTCTGGAAAAGCATTCTCGATACAAGTTTAAATATATCCCTTGTCACAGCCCAGACATGGCTTTAGACATAACATATATGAGAGCCAAGAGATAGCCTAGACATGCCCCACAACACGGCAACAATGTAGCTAACATGTAAACCCAAAGCATCACTTCCAAACGTGGTACCACAAAGCCCAGATACAGTCCTAGACAGCCTGAGATGGCCTCAAACATAGCATCAGCACAGCTTACACATAGCTCTGAATGTCCTGAGACACGGCCCCAAACATACCACCAATATATCTCAGACACAGCTCAATATATCCTGTGTGTGGCCTGAGGAAGCCCCAAACGTGGCACCAACACAGCTTAGACATTGTCTAGGACAGTCTGAAACATGGCCCCAAATACAACAGCAACACAGCTCAGACACAGCCCAGATGTGGCCCGACGCAGCCAGAGACCTGGACCCAGAGAAGTCACACAAATGGAGACCAGACAGCCCCCAGTGCCTACAATGCAGTCCAGTCATAGCAGCTGGCCAAAGGAGGGAGATCTGTGGGAGCCCAGATAAACAGGAGACAATTGTTACTTTAACCAAGATTCTCTTCCCCTGCTGTTTCTGGAGCCTGACTTGAAATGTTCCTACTCCTTCCTTCCTTCTCTCCCCATCCTAGAGCAGGCAGGCAGCACAGAGCCCTCAGAAACCAAGCCTTTCAGTGGCAAGGGGACATGGGGGAGCAGGGAGGAGGGAAGTCTACCTGAGGCCAGGAGGACTGGCTTGATGTAACTGGGGTGGAAGATGCGTATCACGGGGCACCAGGCCCCTACCCACCAACAGCACACATCCCTGAAGCTGCAGACCAGAGACTGAGTATACAGCAAACCCTCTTCAGAATTATGTATCTGGGGGAAGAATGGAGAGGCAGGGATTCACACCTGAGGAGGCAGGAGGAACATGGAGCCAGGTGGGCAGAGGGGCTGACTGGAGTCTGGAATCATTTTCTTTTCTTTGTCTGACATCTCCATCCCTCTCAATCCGGTTTACTCCCCTGGAAAAGAGTCCCCAGAGTATGGCCACCCATGAAGCTATGAGACCCAAAGTCGAGAAGAGAAGAGGGGAAACTGACGGACATTTCCTCCATCTGTAGAGTGAGAGTATAAAGACCTTGAAAGAACCAAGTAGAACATTGGGGAGGAGTTGCTGGGTATCTGGAACCTTCCTTCTCTCTGAAACCTTATCTTTGTTTCAGCCATGACCCAAACAAGTTCATAGGACCCTGGAATGGAAAGGGACTTCAGAATTGTTTATTCATTTTTCCAATCATGCGTCACTCTCTGTGACTGCTTTCAGGGTTTTCTTGGCAAAGATCCTGGAGCTGTTTGCCCCTTCCTTTTTTCAGCTCATTTTATGGCTGAGGAAACTGAAGAAAACAGGGTTAAGTGACTTGCCCAGTGTCACACAGGTAGTAAGTGTCTGAGGCCACATTTGAACTCAGATTTGACTCTAGGCCCAGCGCCGTACCTCACTCACTGTTCTACCTAGTTACTCACTTGAGAATTAGAATCCCGTAATTTTCCAGATGAGGAAACTGAGGCTAGAGAGGTTATACAACTTCATCAAGATCACCTAGGGAAAGGCCCCCTGAGTCAGTAATCTTTCCACTATAATTGACTGACTCTCCCCAGCACCAGGTTAACTAAGAGTCACACCAGACAGGGCCATGCCTAAGAGCCCTGAAATTTGCCAGTTAATAATCTGAGAGTAAATTAGTGTCCTCTTCTCTAGGCTGAACTACAGATACAGGCTAGACTTGTGATTTCATGAGTATAAGGAGGTCCTTGTGACAGAACTTCCTTTACTCATGCAGCTTGGCACCTTCCACTCTTAAAAAATGAATTACATCTCTATTGAGAGTTAAGAGATATATAGCTAGAATGGACCTGAAGTGGGACTCGAACCCAGGACTTCCTGAATCCCCATCCACTCTCCTACACACTCTCTCTCATCTACAAGGGATCAGTGTCAAGCCATTTGTTTGCATACAGTGCTGCCCTTGTCTTCTCTATCTGTGATTCTCCTCCCACAAGTGGGCAACCTTGACCTTTGCACTCTGACTCAGCACTGAATGAGCCTCTGGAAGGATGCATTCCACAGAATATACAACCCTGTGAAATAAGTGCTATGATTATTCCCATTTTACAGATGATAAAAGTTTCACTTCAGGAGAATTCTCATTGTCAGGAACCACATCATCACAGGAACTCTAGGTCCTTTGTCATTTTGGTTGCCCTTCACCTCATTGATGCCCTTCCAGAAGTATGGTACTCTGAACTGAATACAATACCCAAATGTGGTTCAACCAAAGCAGAGTCCTTGGTCAGCAGAGTCCAATCAAGCAGAACCATTTTTCCCCTTAGCCTGACCTCATGCCTCTCTCAATGTGCCTCAAATCTCATTGGCTTTCGTAGTTACAATATTACAGGACTGAATTTTTTTTCAGATTACCTTCCATCTAGACATGCCTCTCTATCTTGTACTTGTGAAAATAACTATGTGTTCCCAAATATAATTTGATCCCCCCCCCAATTTACCTTATTAAGTTCAGCCCAATATTCCTGTCTTCCAAGATCATTTTGAATCCCAATGTTCATCTGCCTGGTGAGCTAGTTCTCTGCCTCCATTCACACATTCAGACTCCTCCATCTGCACTGGACTCTCATCAACTGTCCCCACAACTAGCCCTGCACATTGTCCTACATATTATAAACATATTTCTCCCTGACTTCTTCCTTCTTTTCTTTATTTTTACAAATTCTTTATTTATTTATTCTTAGCTTTTAACATTCACTTTTATAAGATTGAGTTATAAATTTTTCCCTCTCCCCCCACCTCCTTCCCAAGACATCGTGAAATATGATATAGACTACAAATTGATAATCATATTAAGTGTATTTCCACATTAGTCATGTTGTAAAGAAGAATTAGAATCAAAGGGCAAACCATGAGAAAGAAAAACAAACAAAAAAGAAAATAGTATGTTTTGATCTGCATTCAGACCCCATAGTTCTTTTTCTGGATGTGGTTAGCATTTTTCATCATGAATCTCTTAGAATTGTCTTCAATTATTGCATTGCTCAGAAAAGCTAAGTCTATCAAAGTTGTTCATCACATAATTTTTGCTGCTATTGTGTACAATGTTCTCCCGGTTCTCTTCACTTCACTTAGCATCAGTTCATGTAAGTCTTTCCAGGTTTTTCTGAAGTCTGCTTGCTCATCATTTCTTATAGCACAATAGTATTCCATTACATCCATATACCACAATTTGTTCAGCCATTTCCCAATTGATGGGCATCCCCTCAGTTTCCAATTCTTTCCCACCACAAAAAGAGCTGCTACAAATATTTTTTGTACATGTGGGTCCTTTTCCTATTTTTATGATCTCTTTAGGATACAGACCTAGAAGTGGTGTTGCTGGGTCAAAGAGTATGCACAGTTTTATAGATCTTTGGGTGTAGTTAAAAATTGCCCTCCAGAATGGTTGGATCAGTTCAAAACTCTACCAACAATGCATAAGTGTTCCATTTTCCCCACAACTTATTATTGTCCTTTTTTTTTTTATCATGTTAACCAATCTGATAGGTTAACCAACCTGGTAACCAATCAGAGTTGATATAATTTGCGTTTTCTCTCATCAAAAGTGGTTTATAGCATTTTTTTATATGACTACAAACAGCTTTAATTTCTTCATCTGAAAACTGCCTGTCCATATCCTTAGACCATTTATCAATTGGGGAATGACTTGTAGTCTTATAAATTTGACTCAGTTTTCCATATATTTTAGAAATAAGGCCCTTATCAGAGACACTGGTTGTAAAAATTCTTTCCCACTTTTCTGTTTCCCTCCTAATCTTGGTTGCATTGGCTTTGCTTGTGCAAAAACTTTTTAGTTTAATGTAATGAAAATTATCCATTTTGCATTTCTTAATGTTCTCTTTCTCTCTTGTTTAGTCATAAATTCATCCCTTCTCCGTAAGTCTGACAGATAAATGATTCCTTGCTCTCTTAATTTGCTTATAGTATTACCCTTTATGTCTAAATCATGTATGCATTTTGACCTTATCTTGGTATATGGTATAAGATATTGGTCTATGCTTGGTTTCTGCCATATTTTCTAGTTTTTCCAGCATTTTTTGTGAAAGTGAATTCTTATCAAGAACTCACTGGAGTCTTTGGGTTTATCAAAAAATAGATTACTATAGTCATTGACTACTGTGTCTTGTGTATCTAACCTATTCCACTGATCCAACACTCTATAGTACCAGACGGTTTTAATGATTGCTGCTTTATAATACAGTTTTAGATCTAGTATGGCTAGGCCACCTTCCCTTGCATTTCTTTTCATTAATTGCCTTGATATTCTGGACCTGTTGTTCTTCCAGAAGAATTTCGTTATTATTTTTCTAGCTCTATCAAATAATTTTTGGTAGTTTGATTGGTATGGCACTGAATAAATAAATTATTTTAGGTAGAATTGTCGGGTTTTTGATGTTAGGTTGGCTTACCTATGAGCAACTGATATTTTTCCAATTATTTAGATCTCACTTGATTTGTGTGAAAAGTGTTTTGTAATTGTGTTTATATAGTTCCTGAGTTTGTCTTGGCAGGTAGACTCCCAAATATTTTATATTGTCTACAATAATGTTAAATGGAATTTCTCTTTTAATCTCTTGCTCCTGGGCTTTGTTAGTGATGTATAGAAACATCAATGATTTATGCAAATTTATTTTATATCCTGAAACTTTGCTAAAGTTGTTAATTATTTCCAGTAGTCTTTTAATTGATTCTCTAGGATTCTCTAAATATACCATCATATCATCTGCAAAGTTGTACCATGCTTACATGTCTAAGTATGATATCACCCTTTCTCCCATTTCCTCCATCTCTCATTAGACAAGGATTCATTCTCCTTGAAAGGAAGCCCTTAATCATTTCTATTCATATGAGAAGCACAGGCCTGAACCTCATACACCCATAATAATTTTTTTATTACTTTGAATTGAATCAAATATAAGGTAGACAGGCCAGTTACTATGTCTCTTTTACAGATCAGTAAAATGAAGCCCAGAGAGGTAATGAGACTTGCCCAATATTAGACATGATCAGAGTAAAGCTGAGACTGGAACACTACCTGACTCACAGTCTGTGTTCTTTCCCCTGGATCCTCACTCTGTTTCTGGGCCCCCTCACAAACCTAGGTCTCCCTTTCCAAATTAGGCCCATAGAAAACCAAGGGCCATACCTGAGGCCTTAAGCAAGGGGGAGATGACCTGGGGATGGAAGAGTCTTATCACGGGAGTGAACGGCCCCATCCACAAGATGTGGACATCACTGAACCGACAGCTCAGCTCCTGAAGATTGCGAATACCCTCTTCAGTAGTCTGGGCCTAGGGACAACAAGCAGGGGTTAGAAACCTAGACATGAGGGAGCTGGAGCACCTTCACAGAGCTCCGTCTGCCAGCTACCTCCTGGATACCCCAGTTCAGAGGTGGGGCTTGCTGAAATGGCATTCTCCTTTGCGACTTCTCTGATGCTTTCTGACTTCCCCTCTCTCACCTCTTGTCTCTAACTTCTATTGCTTTTTCCATTCCTCTTCTTTCTCCCTCTCTCTTGTTCCCTATGGGCGACAAGATAGAGCAGTGGATGGAGCGCCAGGCCTGGAGTCAGGAAGACTTATCTTCCTGAGTTTTGTTTTTGTTTTGTTTTTTTGCTTTTTGGCTAGGTAATGGGGTTAAGTGGCTTGCCCAGGGTCACACAGCTAGTAAGTGTCAAGACTCTGAGGCCAGATTTGAACTCAGGTCCTCCTGACTCCAAGGCTGGAGCTCTATCCACTGTACCACCTTCCTGATTTCAAATCTGGCTCTCAGACATTTCTGAGCTGTGTGACCCTGAGCACCAAAATAGGTACTGCTCCCCTGAGTCTCATCTATTTCTTCCATTCCTCCCATTCTCTACACATACACACACACACACACACACACACACACACACACACACACACACACACACACACTCACTCACTCACTCATACACACACCTATTAGATAAGGCCAGACAGCTGTGTTCTAACGCCTGCTCGCAAGACAGGGGAACAGGGCTTTCTGGAAGAATTCCCAAATCCATCTTCAACAGAATAAAGCTCTCTTTCCTCTAACTGTCCTCCACTCTTGCCTAGCAGGGATTGGGGAGGCAGGGGCCATTCAGAAATGAGGAGATAGGATGGCAATAGAAAATGAAGAAAAAGAAAAGGAGGTAAAGGAGATGGATAACGACAAGGGAGAGGAAGAAAATGTGACTGAGAAGCCTTAGATGGAAGGAAGAATCAGGAAAGCCACAGTGTACAGCATGGGAAAGCAGAGAGTGTTATGGGGTGATACTGGAGAAGAGATTTGAGATGTTATCATAGACAATGAGACAGAGATAGAGAAACATATTGACGCAGACACATTAGGTAATTAATCAATATGTATTTCATTTAGTGTTGAGACATAGCAAGAGAAGACTAAGGATTGGGGATGAAGCTTAAAATCAGGAAGCCCAGATAATTTGACAGGGGTGATAGAGAGAAAGAAGACAGAGTATTGTATGCCCAAGAGTTGACCTCTAAGCATATCTTGGAAAGCTGCAGGCTCAGGATTGATTAGATATTGTCCCACAATGACCATGGCCTCTGGGGTGTCCATAACTGAGGCAGCAGTAAGGGGTTTGATGTAATCAGGGTGGCAAAATGTAGGCAATGGGTGGAAGGGCCCAAGCCATGTTACAAAGGCCTCCCTATAAGCAACCACCAGCTGGACAATTTGATCCATTTCCTTCCTCCATGGAGCTGATCTGTAAAGAGTGCAGCAGGGGGAGTCAGCAGCTCCAGGCAGTCCCTAACAGACTGTGAAGCTTCCCATTGTAAGGTCTGGCCACGGAGCCCCTAAGGGCAGGGGGTGAAAACAGCAACTTTGCTGGTGGACTCTCCCTCTGCACACCAACAGGAGGGGCAGCATGACATCGTAGAAAGATCCCTGGATTGGGCCTCAGAGGACTTGGGTTCTAATCCCAGCTGTGTTACCTTAAGCAAGCACCCATCCCTCTCTGGACCTTAGTGAAATGACTTCTAAGGGCCCTTCCACATCTAACATTGTATGATTCTACTGGATCTCCTTGAGCCCTAGAAATGCAGGAAAAATTTTTCTATCTCTAAGTTTCTTATGTTCTCACCAAAGGACTATGTGTCATCTTCCAAATGTAGTTTTGTGGGAAGGAATACAAGTGAGCAGAGAGATTAGAGAAGGTATGATAAATGCAGTGTCAAGGGCCCTGGACTAGGAGCAAAGATCCCAGTTTAAATCCTGGCTCTGCTACCTAAGTGACCCTAGACACATTACTCTTTGGTCTCAAGTTCCTCACTTATCCATAGACACTGTGTGGTTAGGTCAATATGGAATTGGTTGAATTACCGAAGTTATCCTGCAGGAAGGTCTCTAGTGGAGTGCCTCAGGGTTCTATTCTTGGATCATTGCTATTCAATATCTTTATCGATGACTTGAATGAAGGCTTAGATGGCATGCTATTTTAAATTCTCAGATGACACAAAGCTAGGAAGGATCATTAGTACAGTGGACAACAAAGTGGGATCCCAAAAGTAGACTGAACCAAGTTGAAGAAAATGAAACTTAATGGGAATGAATGAGCAGGTTTAGCTTTGGGTTCAAAAAAATCAATTTCATAATTAGAAGGTGGAAGCATGGCTAGACAGTAGGTGATCTGAAAAACAGCTGGTGGCTTTAGCATCCTGAAGAGCCATGGAGACATGGCAACCCTGGTTAAACCCTATGGGGAGTTTGTCTCTGGGCAACATATTTTGGATGCTAATATTAATAAAAATTAATATAAATAATAATATTAAAATAATAGCTAATATTTATACAGTACCTAATAGGTTCCAGAGACTATGCTAATTGCTTTACAATTATTATCTTATTTGATTTTCACAAGAACCCTGGGAGGTAGGTGCTATTTTTGATCACCATTTTACAGATGAGGAAACTGAGACAAACAGAGGTTAAGTGAGTTTCTCAGGGTCATACAGGTAATAAATTTTTGAAGCTAGATTTGAACTCAGGTTTTTCTGACTCAAGACCTGGCACTCTATCCAATGAGCCACCTAGTTGCCCCAAGGTTGTGACATTGATGGGGCAGATAACCAGAAAAGGGCAACCTGGATAGCAAAGGGACAGAAAACCATGCCTTACAAGGATCAGCTGATGTTTGGTTGGAAAAGAGAAGACCTAGGGGGAACACAATAACTCTCTTTGAAGGTCTGTTATGTGAGAAAATGATTAGACTAATTATGCTGGGTTCCACAGGATGAACAATAGCACTGGGTACAAGGTATAGGAGGGCAGATTTCAGCTCAGTATATAGAAAAATGTAGAACTACCTAGAAGTGAAATAGGTTGTCCCAAAAGTTATTTGGGAAGTCTTCATGTAAAGGTCTCTGACAAGGATTTTGTAGAGGCTTCGAGTTCATGTAGGGGTGGACATGTTTAACCATTAATTTCTTTTTGAGCTCTGAAATCCTGTGAACTTTGACCATCAGACATCAGAGACATATTTGACTTTGCCCCTGTCTATTATTTTACAACTTGCATATTCCCTTATTTTAAAGGCAATAAAGCCTGGGAACAGCCTGAGGTTAAGAAAGAAGGGGATGGGTTTCCTGGAAGGCTGCAGCAGGTATTCATCTTTCAAAGATTTGAGTTGAGAGAAATCAGGTTATAGAATTGATGGTGTGGGTTTAATGGGGCAAGTGGTCTATTCCCAGTGCCTGGGAAGCCAGAGTTATGAGGCTATTCTAGGGGCTGGCATCAGAAGACCTCCTCCAGGGCATGAGGAGAGTAGTCCTTCCTGAGAAGGTTTAGTATTGACAGACTTGGCCACAGAGCTTTACAATGGGGAGGAACATGGGGTGGGGCAGCATTTCTACTAAGCCATAAGATAAGGCATCAAGGACTTATAGAAGCATATGAGGCATCCGGTGCCATGCCACCTGGTCTAACCTGGGACAGTTGAGACATTGGGTTCCTCAAAGGGACTTAGCTTCATAACCAAGGGAGGAGACTCTTTGGCCCTGCCCAAGACTCCCTTTTAAACCCACATCAAGGTCCTTCTCTTAGGTTGGGTCAAGTTAAACAATGGTGTAGAGTGGAACTTCTCAAGATTTCCAGTACCAGGGGAGTTCCTGAGAAAGAGGAAGAAAGTCTCCTATCACATCTTTGGCTTTCAGACATGCCTAGAAGTTGATTGGGTTAAATCTTGAGCAATTGCCTTTTTAAAAACAAACATGATGATACTTAAAAAACATTGTAGTTATTTCCCAATAACATCTCCTGCCCCCCAACACAACAGAACCTTACCTTGTTGGGTTTTTTTTTTATAGATAAGATGCAAGATACATTGGTAGAGTCTTATCACAGATTCACCCATGCTGGAAAATTGAACACTAGCCATGAGAGACGTGTCAAATATAGTGCCAACACACAAGAAATTCAAGAAGGAAGAGAAAGAATGATATAATATACTGCTCAATGTTCTTCACTAGTTTCTCAAACTCCACAGTAAAACCCTTTGTGAAGGCAGGAAGCATGTTACCAAATCTCTTAATAGGCTCTAGAGTTGTGGTTGATCTAATAATTAGCTATCAGTAGCAGCTGCTATACTTCTTCCTCCATAAACATCCCAGATACATATTCACTCACATAGCTGTTGGCTCTGTCCTACATGAAACTGTACTATCTGCTCATTACTTGCTTTTTCACACTCATAAATGTTTTATGAAGGTGCTGGAAATACCAAGCCACAAAACCCCCGACTAATTCAAGTATCTATTAATACTCCAAACATGTCATATAGGCTATTGATAACAAAGAGTAAAGGGGATCCAAGCAAAATGTCTTGGTGCTGACACTGTGTATGCATACTTCCCAGGCTTAACCCATCTCTGTCCCTCCTCACCCTCACCACAGTATTTTCTGCCTCTCAACAAATATTCTATCTCCCCTATCCTCTTTCTGTATTGAGTCATCTCACTAACACAGAATGGATAAACTTTCCTTCATTGCTCCCTGGTTTGCAGCTCCCATTCAGCACTCTAGCACTCCTGTGGATATGCTTGTACAACCACCTAGTTCTTTCATTTGCTGTTCCCGCAGAGAAGAAAGCTACAGAGGGATCTTTCCCTCTTAGCTGCAGATGGAAACTCCCTGCCCTTCTCCATTTCGAGTTTCAGAATAGGTTGGTCTTGAGAAGACTTTGGCATGACTGTCCTGTTCCCATGGCCTGGACAAGAAATTAACCAGCCTCATAAAATCATAGAACATAGAGTGCTTGAGCTTG